ATATATATATATATATAGATGTGTACTCATACTGTACAAGACTTCAACTGACTACGTGCTTGTATGCATTCGTACAGTTGCCTGCATGCACCGTCACCTGCAAACGTGTACACCACGGCAGATCCCCATGATCCTTTCTTCAGACCTGTATGCAACTTGGGCGAAGCTTGGATTCAAAACTGGCTGAATGGCTCAATCCACGTCGGCGTTTATTCAACATGTATTCGTGCTTTCGAAGAGGGCAATGTGATATACCGACGTCGTTTGTAGGGACGTGATCAAAGAGGTGAACCCTAATGTGGAAGTCTTAATAATTGAAATATAGTTTTGGGGTACATTATACTATAACTATGATAAGGAACCCCAAAATAGTATTGGTCATTATTTAGGCTCCTGTAGTACTTAGGGTCAAAACTCGAAGCCCAAGGCAAGCCTGACGCTTTCTCTGCCAGACGACGCCGCCTTGCAGAGAGGCACTTGGCTCAAGTCTCGTGGCGCAGAGCTTCGAGCTTCAGCACCCACAAAAAAACTGAAGTCCTCACAATCCGAATAGCTGAAACAAAACCCAAAAAATCTGGTTCCCAGAATAGGACGGCAGCCTTGTACAAAGAACCCCAAAAGGGACCCTAATTTAGAGAACTACCTAAATCCTAAACCCTTAAAGGGGTTCCTTCAAGGGGTTCCTTTGATAGCTCCTTTGCAACAAGGCCTCGGTCCCTCGAACCAGGCGTTGGCCCAGGGCTTTGGCCCATCGGACCTGCGAAGCGCCCTCCTGGAAAAGGGCTTCGGGTTTGGAGGGTCCAGGGTTTAGTGCTTAGGGTTTAGAGGCTTAGGGATTAGGGATTAGGGTTTAGGGTTTAGGGTTGAGGGGGTGTGAGATGGGGAGTTAAAGGGTTTCACGACGACGGTTTAGGGTTTTTTTTGGGGGCTGAGGGAGGGTTTGGGGCTGGGGATTGAGAGGTTCAGGGGTGTGGGCGTGTAGGGGTTCAGGGTTTGTGATCCACCCGCATTTGCACAGGCTTTCGGAAAGGATCTTTTTGAACCCTGTCACGTGAGTGCATGTCCTTGTGAGATCGTGCCGAGCAAGACCCCGTACTAGCTTCAGACTCCTGCATTCTTTCCCCATTCGCAAGCTGTCCTCGAAGTCGGCGAAGATGATGACCATGCCAGAAGACTGAGGCAAGTTCTCATGGGTTCGGGTCTTCTGGGGCGCAAAATTCAAACGACAGACCAGTGTTTCAAGCCTTGTGGGGAAGGCTTCGAGTTTCCGTCTGTATTGCTGGAAGCTGCGATGCCTCTCACATGAGGAAGTACCTTCCTGTGGTGGTGACGAAAGACTAAACGCTGGATGCCCCTAAACCCAGTAGATGTTGGCCACAGCCCTTGCAATGAAAACGTCAGTATGGTTGCATGCATTTAGCAAAGTTGAAATTTAAGGGGCCCAAACCCAATTCTAGGCACCAACGCCAAAACTCTTGGGGAAGCCTCCCTCCTCCAGCTGCAACTAAGATGACTCGAGGCCACCAAGGGGCCAAGGAGCGACACGTAAAATAGTATGTTGATAAAGTCCTCATGATATTATGTATGTGTATATATACATATGCGTATATATACATATGTATAATAGTGTATATGATAGAGTCATTATTTTATAATATTTTGTTAATGTTACTATATGCTAAAAAGTTATACTATGCGCCTTACGAAGGCCTTCGATTGATGAAAATAGCTCGACTGCTGTGCTCGAAAGCCCCGCTCTCCAAAGCAGCTTGCTCTCTTGGCGTCGCGAGAGCTACATCTATTTAGGGAGAGATTGCAGGCTTTCAGACTGAGACGGCGTAGATAGTAATGGCAAGACTTCTCGCCGAGAGACTCTCACAGCTCAACCTGTAGTCGAATCCTGCTACCTCGAGGCATGCTCGCGCATCTCCGTGAGTAGAGCTCAATGCTCAGATTGCGTGGGCTCGTCCAACCCTCCCGAACCTCAAAAAAAAACGAAACACAACCGAATGCCAGCTAGATTTCTGGCCTGACCCCGGACACGCCGCGGGCCCTTTGTGGACGCCATCTCCGGACGCCTTTCCCCCAGTTGAAGCCTGGCCAAACCGAGTTTGACCCTATCTCTGAACCCTATGCTTGCAGCTTTCATGTTCATGTCTGCGTGCCGTGCTTCTTCGTGCTTCGTTCTATGCTCTACTGCACCACAACAACGACGATGACGAAGAAAAAGAACGCTGCTGCTCCAGCTACTGCAACTACCACCACCACCACCCACCACAAAAACAACCACCACCACGACGGCGACCACGACCACGACGGCAATCACGACCACGACCGCTACCACTGGCACGGACTCCCCACACCACTAGCACGACAACGACTACTGCTACGAGTACAAACCTACCCCACCGCCGACACGACCACCCTCAACAATTCATGTTGCACCTTTCGTGACATATGCTGACTAAGGGATTGCATGATCCTCCCGTGACGCAACCCAGACTGGGCCTTGAAACACGGTGCACTCTACAGCTATTCAGTGGCCACAAAAAAACCAAGCACCGCACACTTTGCAAATCAACCCGTCCCAAGCGCGACGAGCATCTTGCAAAAGCAAGACCATCATCAATCATTACTGTCACTCTGCCACGTCATTGTGCTACAAACCCCATCCTCGCCACAGCTTGGAAAAGACTGTAAGCTATACTACATGGTCCTAAGCAGTGTGTATAAATACATGATTCGATGTATATATATATATATATATGTGTGTGATATATGCGGTGTACAGTAAATCACGTAGCAAACAACACATAGTGCCAAACAGGTACGTACGGTTTGGGCTCTCTCCTCGGAAAAAAGGTGGGCCGAAGTGGCTGGATGGGTGGGCCGCGGCGACGGGGCTGGCCATTGGGCCTCCTTCATGTTTCCTTTCTGGGCTCCTGGGTCGGACGGGTGGGCCGGGGCCAAGGGGCTGGGCTCCCTTCATGTTTCCTTACTGTGTGCTCACTGATGTTTCAGTCTTTATCATAGCACTGCTTGGGCTCGATGCTAGAACACAAGGCGCCTTTTGGACTACGATCCTGTAGCTGAGCTATCAGCTGCTTTTCCACCAGAGACATCGAATATGCCGGCCTCTGGAGGTTTTCGAACGTATGATCTGTTCCACAGCTGCAGCAAAAGGGAGCCTGTTCTGTACAACTATGAGCGCTGACCGCAAACAAGACATTTTGGACACGGCGTTCTGAATCCCAAAAAAAGAACACTTCCTTGTCGTGCGGATGTCCTCACCACCCATTCTTCTTGTGCACAAAACTTTTGCCTAAAGCCTAAACAATTGGTTCGCAGCATCTGCTGGCGAAGCCAGATTGGGTTCCAACACATTCCAACTTGAACCGGCATGATTCGATGCATTATGTTTGGGGTCTTCGCTGGTGTACTATTGAATATTTTGACATAGACATAGATATAGATATATATACATATATGTATGCATGTATGCATGTATGTATGTATACTATATAACATAATATAACATGATATGATATAACATAGCATCATGTAATACAACATAATATAACACAATACAACATAATACAACATAACATAACATAATACAAAACAACATAATATATCATAATACAACCTAATATAACATAATATAACATGATGTAGCATTATATATATATATATATATAAAACTTTGCTGTATGATTAAAGGCGTCTCAAGATGCCTGGGTCCGGCGGTCAGGTTCTGCAGCAGGGTGAAAGCTCGTCGCAGCTGCTCCTGCAAGGGACGCAAGGTGGGGTTTAGGGCTTAGAGTTTGGGGGTTTAGGGTTTAAAGATTGGGGGTTTAGGCCTTAGGGCTTAGAGTTTGGGGGTTTAGGGTTTAGATTCTGGGGGCCGGGTTTGGGGTTTAGAGTTTGGGGGTTTCGGGTTTAGGCTTTGGCTTTGTTTGTTTAGGACGAGGGTTTCAGGGCTTAAGGCTCGGCTGGCTTCGGGATGCTTGGAGGAGACTGAGGCTCCTTTCCTAGGCCCCTTCCCTCTGACACGCTTTCTGCGGACACTGTAAGTGGACAGGGTGCACAAGGCGTGGGCCTTGAACTCCAAGCCCAGAACTTCAGAATCCAAAGCTCTGCTAAGAGGAAACTAGAAGCAAGAACCGTCTGTCCCCGGTCACCTCCTCGTAGACCTCATGATGGAGCTCCTGGCCAAGATCTGGGAAGAGCTTGCTGAAGCCAAAGGCAGCAATGCTCGTCGTAGAACTTATGTGATCATTCACGGATTTTGTGGTGATGACAGTGCTGGTAGATGTCAGACTATCAAAAGTACGACCGCGTGTATCGATCTGGATTTGTGCCGAAACGATTGAAAAGCCGATCGCCTCCTCAACATCCAAACCGTCAAAAACTTCCCCACCCTGAACCCTCCTGAAAGAAGCCCAATGCAACTCTAAAGTGTCTAAACTCTAAATGCCCTAGCGCCTGCAGCTTCCTCATCATCTTTGGAGCGGAATACATCTGCAGCCATTCCTCCAAAGTAAGCTCACCGGGCTCCTGAAACAGCGTGGCGCAGGGCGGCGGAGGGGAACCCTGGGGACCAAGGCCTTGGGTTTACACTTCTTTTGGGAAAATGCTGAAAGCCGGCCGTCACCACTTTCAAACCCCAAATGCTTTAGGTGGGGCATTGATGGCAGTGGCAAAGCGCTGCAAGTAGGGATTCTTAATCCCAACCATGCGTTGATGCTTTCGTTGGCGAAGAGCCTTGTATGGCCGCAGGGGCAAAAGCACGGAAGGTAGAGAGGGCAGAAATCGCACTATCACTCGCCACAGTCCCCTAAAGGCCGCTTGGCTTTCCTTGTGGTTAGCGGTCGCAGCGTGGTTTTTGTGCGGTCCTTTTGAGCTCTCAGGGTGATCTACGGTCATACGGTCCTTGTGTGGCCCTTCGAGCCCGAGCCACCAAGTGTGGCGATCCAAAATCATGCAGCTTGAACACCCCAAGCCCTTAGCATGAAATCTAAGCCGGAATCTTGGAACTCCAACCTCAAAGAGCCTACAACCGTAGATTACCCTTGTAGCACCCAAATTCAGAACCCTTCAAATCAGCGGCCTTGGCAATGGCAAGGTAGGCTCCCTTACCGTGCTTGTCCACGCAGGCCTCAATCGCCAGAACACTTCGTCCGGTGATCTTTCCCAATTGCATCCCCTTATAGCCCCTGTACAACGCTGCACAACACTGCTACAATGCACCACAGATCATCATCAACATAATGATACTACTACTACTACTCCTCCTCCTCCTCCTCCTCCTCCTCCTCCTGCTGCTGCTGCTGCTGCTGCCGCCGCTGCTCCTCCTCCTACTACTACTGCTGCTGCT